TACAAGCATTTTTCTATTTAAATTTTTCTTTGCTTCTTAAGCTTTTTTGTTGAAAACTAAGACAAAAACTTACTCCATAGCTTAGGCTTACACAAGATCGCGATCATCAGGGTCACTGTCCTCCGCCTCCACATCTTGTCCCATTGGAAGGTTTCCAGGAGTGCTAGGGTTTGAATATGAATGACCCCCAAGGTCCATGTGTTGAAGCCTTTGTGCCCAGAACATGGTACTATTAGGAGGTGACAGAAGCTATAAGAGGTGTGGCTTCATGGGAAGAAGTCACATCACTGGAACTTGGCCTTGAGGGGGTATTGGAACCAGGGCCCCTTCCTTTTACCTTTTGCTTCCCAGCCACCATAAATGAATAGGATTCAACTGCTACACACTCCTATAAGGATGGTCCTGCCATCACAGACCAAAGCAACAGAGCCAAGTAACCATGGACCAAAACCACTGAAACTGTGAAACCAATTACCCTTTTCCTTTATTAACTTGATTATCTCAGGTGTTTTGTCACAGTGATGAAAAGATAACACAAGAGGCAATACCACATAAGGAGCTATAATCTCTTATAATAACAGAGGCTTCACCTCCTGAAGTACCTGTCTGAGGCTGTTTTACAGTTAGCTTTTTTTAATATGAAGAAGGCATACATTCAAAAATAACAATAAAAATAGAGTAAATACCATAAATAAGTAACATAGGCATTTATTATGAAGTATTTTGTACTATATATAATTGGATGTGCTATGCTCTTATATGCCTTGCAGTACGGGTTTATTTATACCAGCATCACCTCAAATACACGATGATGCACTACAGTACAGTGTCATCATGGGTATGACATCACTTAGGCAACAGGAACTTCTTACCTCCATTATAATCCTACAAGCCCACCATACATGTGGCCTGTGACTTTCCAAAGCATACTTACCTGTCACATGATTATGTATTTTGTCTTTGTTTTTTCATAGTGGCCCCACCATTTGAACACAGTATTCTCTTTTTTGTCAATATGTAGTAAAATGAATGCAAATAAATGAGTAATGGTATGATTATTTAAAGGACAATTATGTGATAAATCCTTCTCAGGAAATTATCTACAAGCTAGTAAAGATTTTCCTGTGGGAACTATTTCCTTTACAGTAAAGAAAATATAGCACAGCACAGATTAAAGCCATATTTCCCAATGAGCCATATTTCCTAATATTACTAGAGGAAAATATCAGATTTGCTAACTAGATTTCTTTTACTATAATTGCTCTTTTACAGAAAACCAATATATTTGCTTTTGAGCTTGTTGAGCTAAATGTTGATTAATAAAAAAAATAGGATGACAGTAAAAACTAATTTTAAGAACATTTGTTAAACACAGGAGTACCTATTAAAGGGAACAAGGATTGAGAAGCCAAAGAGTTCCGGTATAAAGGGCAAGGCCAACATAGCACCCCACTTGCTGCCATGGTTTATAGACACAGCCTGGGCTTATATAAATTCTCAAATTCTCATTCAATCCTACAATTCTGTGATATTAGAATGCCATTTAAATGTTCCATGAAAACCAAATGTAATTCAGTGTGTGATGTGGAGGGAGGGTATGCATGTATTTAAACAATTCAACACTAGATGGCCCTAGTTACAAAACCAATGCATTTTCAAAAGCCTAAAAAGCAAAACTATGCCATTCTGAGAACTGATGGATTCTAGGGCACTAAATCAACATCCATTATCTTCCAAAATCATGTATGCATTAAAAATAGCATTGAATACTTATGTTTAAAATGCTATGGCTCTCCAGAAGAGCAAGCATAAATCCTAGAAGTCTTACAGGTAAAAAAACAAGTTGCATTGCCATAGGCTTGAAGGCTCTAGATTTAATTTGCTCTGAAATTATTTCACTTTATAGTCACATAGTACTCTATTATTTTAATGTTACTTTCACATATACCGATTGATTTGACCCTGTCAATAATCAGTGAGATAGATAATGGAGGTAGATACTTTCCTCTTCAAAGGGCAGGACACTGGGATTCAGACAGAGGCATTTTGTTCAAGGGTTTATGTCTTATAAATTACAGTGTTGGGACTGGATTCTCAAGGTCTTGACTCCTGGATCAGTGTCATTTCTATACAATAATCAAGGATTATTACATTAGGCTTCCCACTATATAGTATATCTGACATGACACTTCCATTCTTTAGAACAGTCCCTGCTAATGAATTAAATATCCACACACAACTATCAAATATTCAGAAACTGAATGTCAAATTCCTAGAGACTGGACAGAGAGGTAGTGTAATCATACGACAATTTATTCTTCACCGTACACCCAGAATATACACAAATGGATTATGTGTCTCTCCTTCAAACCCTCCAGTGACTTCCCATTGTCCCAGGATTATAATGGAAAACTACAATACCTTTATGCATGGCCTTTCAGGAGCTACCACCTAATCTAGTCACTTTTTTTTTTTTTGTCCTCTTACTACTCACTACTAGCTTTCTATTAGTTATCTGAATGTGTCAAACTCATTCTAACTCAGGGTGTTCACTTGTGCTGTTCCTACCAACTAGCACGCCCCCCCCCCCAACACACACATATTCTTCAGGTCTCAGTGCAAATAATTCATCCTTTGGAAATTTTTCCTCACCTACCACTTGTTCCACAAAGCTCCAGACTTAGTTAGGTCCCTGTGTTTTCTGGTATGTTTGGCATCTGTACTTCTTCTTTATAATGTTATTACAACTACAATGAGTTTACCATTAAAGTATTTACTTCATGCACCCTTAATCTGCTCTATTAACTGCTAAATCCCTAGAGAGAAGTATAGTATTTTGCCAACTTTCAAAATTGTCATCAATGATAAAAAATAATTTCCACATCATAATTAGTAACACAGGTATACAGGTACCTGAAAAAAAGGCTCATAAACATTTCTTATTTCTAGTTTTAATTCTCTTGATACTTTCTCCTTTTTTTTGTACCAGGGATCGAACTCAAGTCCTTGTGCTTGCGCAGCAGGCAGTGAAACCACTGAGCTAAATCCCCGGGCCTTCTCTTCTATTTTTAATATGTTGGATACCATCTACTTTATTGAGTTATAGTCTATTAATAGCCCCAACTCTGACTTTAAATAATCATCCACTTACCAAAACTCTTAGCAGAGAATAGATGTCTGGTAGTTGCTTATACAAAAAAAACTAACAGAAAATGAATATTTACCAAGCATTATCTAAACTTGGTTTGTTTTTACAAAGTAAAAGCAAGCCTTGCCATGTTCGAGTGGGGTCCCAGGTCCTCTGACCCAAAGCCACAGATTTTCTCTGTAAGCATCCTTCAGAAGAAGAGAGCCTAACCCATTATTTTGGCTTTATTTCTGGTCACTATATTTATATCGCTGAACAATGGTTTAGAAAATATAAAGCAATAACTTAGAAATGTTACAAAATTCATTACTACCCTTGGCTCTTAATGAGTAATAGGTGAATTGTGGTAAGGAAGCCGGTCTGGCACCCTGAGTTTCGATGGCCAACCTCCAGCACCATGAAAAAGAAATGTGTACTATTGAAGCCACCCATTCTATGTGTTCTATTTTTTTAATGATGTATGCATTTATTCCCTCATGATTAAATTATGAAAGACAAAAACAATTCTAGGCCACCTGAAGCAGGACAGGAAACAACCAGAACTGATCTGACTTGGACTTCTGATGTGACTATCTTAGTTTAGCAATTGGAGTCTGGGTTTGGGGCCTAGAAGTCTGGGTTCAGAGAGCAGTTCCACTACTTTACTTGCTAAGTGAATTTGAACAAGCTTTTTTAGTTTGTCTCATGCTTCTTTCATCATCTCTAAAAGAAGGACAATATAGCACTTACATCATGGGATTATTGTGAGGATTCTATAAACCAATGCACATAAAATGCTTAATACAACAATCGAGTAAGTATTCAATAGATGTTACTCAACACCATTAGCCTACACTTTTTTTTCCCATAGAAATAGGCATTTGAAACTACTATGGGAACCCTTCATATCAATTAAGATAGGTGTTGCCAGCTGGTCTTTGAAGATTCCATAGTCCTCAAAAATCCCTTTAGTTTTTTGTTCTCATATCTAAAACATGAAGATCTAATGTCATGGACTGGAATAGCTGTTCCAGGCTCAGACATTATAACTGCATTCTAAGTCAGGTGCAAGGAGAAAGCATATTCTCTTATGGCAACCTGAAAATTTTTTCCTTCTCTTCATTCTGATCCTTTTTCTGTGAGTTTTTTCCTCCCTCCAGGGTTTTCTGTGTAGACTGAAGCTGTTACTAGAGAATTGAGAATGTAGAGTTTATATTTTTGAACATACCATTTCTCTATTCTTCCAGACACATAGCTACCATTGAGATTTCTGGCAATTAACAATAGCATTGGCTTTAATATAAGCCCAGTACACTGTTGATTGTTATGGTTTCAGAGAGCTGGCTCCCTCTTAAAATCTGAATGAGCAGCTTGAATACAAACAAGTATGTTCTCCCCAACCTGAGCTGGCCTTAATCTCCCCACATGGTTATATAAATGCTTTGTGTTTTCTGTTTGTAGGCCAGCGTTTATCTTCATACTTGACCTAAAACTCCACACTTGATGTAATACAGTGATAGAAAATGTGTGAAACAAAAAAAAAATTCTCAATTATCTTAGCCTTAATTTCACTTTGAAGCAGCAAAAAAACAAGAAAACTATCATAAACAGAAGTTTAGTTACCCAAATTGCAGTAAGTTTTACTTTTCAAATATATAAATTGATAAAACAGCTTCAAAATAGCATTTACCCCAGTGGTTTTTAATGCAAAACGCATTTTAATTCTGTAAACAAAAAAGAAGGATAATTTTGTAGATTCTGTTTGAGCTGTAGGGACCCACTATCTGGTCAAAGGGTTGTATGGACAGAAGAGACAGGGTGAGTTAAAGTTTAACTCCCAGGAATTGTAAACCAAACCTAAAGCCACTGAACCTTTGGAGTTTGATATGATGATTAGAACATAACCACAGTGACACGTTGAATTCGCCATAATCAAGGAACCTTTTCCGGGTGGGGATCTCTGAAATTACTCAGGTATGGTCCATGTGTTTTTCTTTTTCTATCTCAAGCCTGTGGAACTGTGCAATGTGATATCTGCGACAGTGCATGAAAACAGCTTTTGCTCTCTTCTAGTACTAAGTCTAATCCACTGTATTGTCTAGTTTGTTCTTAAGAAAACAAGGAACATATTGGAATAATCATAAATCTCAAAATGAAGTGACTGCTGCATATTTCTCTTTGATTTAATCAATTTCTAAGGTTTAAGAAAAAAAGCATATTCAGCCCCGTGGGTTTAAGAATGGGGCTAGTGTTCTGAGAAGCTTATTTAGTCAGACAGCAGGGAGAATTATAGTTTAGTGCCTGCTCTGGTCCTAGGACCTTGGAACCAGAAATGTAATTAACTTCTCTGACAGATTTTGAATTCTCTATATGGGTCATAATTTCTACGATACTTTAGACTTCATATGTTTAATTATGCCCTCTGCTATCAGCCCCCATTTAAAAAAACACGTGATTTCTTGCTACTCTATCATTATCCTGCTTACCAAAAGAATGCCCTAAGCCATTTCTTTATAATTCTTGCAAAAATGATAACAAAATCAGAATATGTTAAATCTCAACCTTGGAATAGCTAATAATTAGACCATTTCCATAGTCTGGGCAACTGTATTACAGGGGATATATTTTCACATCATCATTTTTTTCACCCCAAAGAGGTGATCCACAACCAGAGGATGAGGGTTCTAAAGGAAGAAATCAGTCCAGGCATTTAATAGGAATATCCTATTCCTGTCAGAAATCTCCTAAACCCTCTGATTAAAATACTTTTGTTTCATGATTATGAAAGTTCCAAGAAGAAAGTTTCCATGATAAATAAGTTTCTTTAGTATAGAATTTTGCAAGTGTGCACTGTGTATCTCCAAGATGAAGGCTATAAAATTATATGTGCTGTGTATAGGATTATTAATGTTTGACAGAACATATATTGGTATAAATTAACTCTAGTTATAATTCAGGAACCCCAAAACTGTGTTGTCTGATATGTAACATTCTTTATAATGTGCTGAGAGCATGTAATTGGAGGACAATTCTGGAAGGAAAAGTGAACTCACTTATCAAAGCAATGAGACTCTCCTGATAAATACAAAGAAATAGACAACTTACAGGGTTCATCCTTAAGGAGCATATTTTCTGGAATAACATTGATTCTACCCACTTTGGATGAATTTTACATTTTACTGGCCCAATTTATTATTTATCAAATTATGGGAAGAAAAGATAGTTGGCAAGAAAAAGAAACTGTCATGAAACAAATATTAAAAAATGGCATAATGGATATAAAAATCAATGAATACTTAGTAATTTCCAACTGGGCTAATACTAAGCACTCTTCTAATAATTTGAACATTTTCTACACTATATTTAGTAGACATTGATAAATGTGGCACAAAAAGTGACCATAGTCAAGTAAGTCAAGTGGTTAGACAACTTTTATTAATGTCTAGCATATTACACATTTAAATCATATCTATCCTCCTTATTACCACCTCATAAACCCTCTATCCCCTATGCCTGTTCTCTTCCTTTTGTCTCATAAGATTCTCCCTTCTACTTACATAGGACCTTGTCTTTTTCCATTTTTTAATATTTCACTTATAAAGGAAAACACGATACTTGCCTTTTTATGCCTGGATTGTTTCACTTGACATGATGATCTCTGGCTCCTGCAAGTGACACGACTTCGTTCTTCTTTGTGGCTGAATAATACTTCATTGTGTATATATACCATATTTTCTTTACCCATTCATATGCTGATGGGCACCTAGACTAGTTCCATATCTTAGATACTGTGAATTGTCCCCCAATATACTCGGGTATATAGGAATCTCTATAGTATGCTGACCTTAATTCCTTCATGTATATACCAAGAAATGTTATAACTGCACCATTTGGTAGTTCTATTTGTAGTTTTTTGTGGAACCTCCATACTGGTTTCCATAGTGGTGGTTATACTAATTTACATTTCCGCCAGCAGTGTGCAAGAGTTCCTTTTTCACCTCATTCTCACCAGGCTCGCGCTCTCTCTCTCTCTCTCTCTCTCTCTCTCTCTCTCCCCTCTCTCTCTCTCTCTCTGATCTTGATGATAGCCGTTCTGATTAGGGTGAAATGGAAATTCAGTGTTGTTTTGATTTGCATAAGTCTCTTCAATTCGTTTTCCCATTTATAGATGGAGCTATTTGTGGGTGCTTGTGTGTGTTAAACATTTTTAGTTCTTTATATATTCTAGACATGTATTAACCCTTTGTCAGCAGAGTAGCTGGTGAAGATTTTCTCCTGTTCTCTAGATGGTCTCTTCACTCTGTTGATTGTTCCCTTGCTGTGCAAAAACTTAATTTTATATAGTCCCATTTGTTGATTCTTGACATTATTTCCTATGCTACTGTGCTTCCTATTCAGCAGGAAGTCTTTGCCTGTGCCATGATTCTAACTGTTTCCCCTATGCTTTCTTCATGAAGTTTTAAGGCTTTAAGTCTTCTACCTAAACTGTGATCCAATTACCATTAATCTTTGTACAGGATGAGAGACAAGGACCTAGTTTCAGTATTCTACTTATGGATATCCAGTTTTCCTGGCACCATTTATTAAAGATGTTGTCTTTTCTCCAATGTATGTTTTGGGCCTCTTTGTCAAAAACCAGATGATTGTAGATATATGAATTTATTTCTGTGTCCTGTCTTATATTTCATTGGTCTATATATCTATTTTTGTGCCATTCTGTTTTGTTACAGGGTATTTTGTGGGTTTTTTAGTATAATTTGAAATCTGGTATGGTGATGGCTTCAGCATTGTTCTTTTTGTTTAGGGTTATTTTGGCCATTCTGGATTTTTTTTGTTTTTCCATATGAATTTTAGGATTTTTTTCTAGTTTTGTGAAGAATATCAATGAAATTTTGGTGGGAATTACATGAAGTTAGTCAATTGTTTTAGTAATATCACCATTTTAACAATATTAATTCTGTCAATCTACGAATATGAGAGGTCTTTCCATCTTCTCATGTCTTCAATTTCTCTTTTCCACCCTGTATAATTTTTCTTGCAGAGGTCTTTCACCTCCTTGGCTAAATTGATTCCTAGGTACTTTTTTTTTTTTGGTACCAGGGATTGAACTCGGTCACTTGTGCTTGTGAGGCAGGCAGCGGAACCACTGAGCTAAATCCCTGGCCCAATTCCTAGATACTTTTAAGCTGTTGTGAATGGAATTGTTTTCCTGATTTCTTTCACCACTAGTTCATCATTGCTGTACAGGAGACCAGTGGATTTTATTCTGGGTATTAGACAATTTAAATCAGGCCCTCTACTATATGATTGAGTAATAACATATAGTAAGCATTATATTGTGAAGGACACTTCTAAGTACTCTCTATACACATTTATTCTTAGAACAACCATATGAGGCAAATACTATTATGACAAAACTGAGTTTCAAACAAGTTACCAAACAGGCTCAATGTCACCCAGATAGTTAGAGGCAGAACTAGGTTCCCTAGCTGAGTGGTCTGATTTCAGAATACAAGCATATAACCATTGTAATGTAGGGACTATATGTGTAACTCTGTTCACTCATTGTGAATACAGAACCAAAACAATAGTCAATGTTTTCTTTCCTAAACATACTTTACTACAGAATATGTTCTTCCAGTAATAGCTATTAATGTCTCTCAGAACTGATATTCCTCAGAACACAGATTTTTTTTAAAAAATACATAATTTTTATAGCCTGTATCCAGCATTCATCACAACAAGAATCATTAATGCATCATTACTTTTGAAATCACCACAGTTGGACACATCTAGGGACCACACTCTTATCATTTCCCACCAAACAGGACTGTGCCTGCCTGAGAGGCTTTCAAAATTAGTTACAGAAAAATATTGGACTTTTCTCCAGACAGAACTAGGTTGGAATGCCTGTTCCAAATCTTCCTGGGTTTACGAATTTGTACACATTATTTGATTTTCCAGAATCTCAGATTCCTCAGTTGTGAAATAGGCATAAAATGATAAATAAATAGAATGATAAATTTATAGTTAAGCAAAGTCCCCAGTGCTTAGAAATTCAGTAAAACTCTCCATTTCTCTCTTTATAACAATCTCTTAAAAACTCCAGAAAAATCTTTTCAGACTTTCCAAATGTATCCATTAGCTCCTGTTTGTCAGAACAATTCCATTAAAACAGAAAACTGCATAAATAATGAAATTTTGATTAATCACAGATTCTATTCTATTTTTTAAAGTTACAACCTAAAATTCTTTTTTTAATATTAAAACACCCACAGGGTATACTTTATTTTAGAGAATATTGCAAAAACACCTAGTTGAAAGCCCAGTACCCCTTTTCCTCAAACCTATGGTAAACTCTGATATGATATATGTTCATTTCATCACATAGTCAATGTTAAAAATATGTTTCAGTAATTGTCTTTTAAAATACTGCCATCCCTCAGAAAGCAGGGCAGTACTTTGAGTACTGTTGCACAATGGCTGTCATTGCCTGATGTGTCTCTAAATGACTCAATAAGTTCAAACAACACAGTATTGATCCACCAAGGATAAACACCATTTTATCTTATTCACGGAAACAGTAACCAGGCTCCTCTAAAGTGCAGTTCTAACAGTCCAAACTCCCCCAGGAAAAGCGGCTGGAAAAGGAGCCCCACTCTTGCAGTGACAGACTACATTAGACATCTAAATCCCATCTGCTCCTTGACCTGGAATTGCAAATCCAGCCAGTTATTATTAACAAATATTTACTGCTAATTGGATCAGGAAAGCAAGTTTATCACTTTATGTCAAACTTAATCCAACTAACTAGGTTACCAGCTTCAAACAATATTTAAAATTTTTAATTTAATAAAATAAAATTTTGTATGATATATATTTTGGTTGATACAAATCAAAAATCAAAATATAAGCCAGGAATGCTGGTGCATGCCTGTAATGCCAGAATTCTAGGAGTCCAAGGTGGGAGGATT